ATAGCATGTTTATTTTTTCTTTCTGGCATTATATCTCATAGTTGTTGAAAACAATTTTATTTTTTTCTTGTCAGCATCATTTTATATTTCAGATGGAAATATAAAATAGTATAATAATGGTATCTTTTGTGTTTTATTGTATGAAGTAGGGGTGTGTATCTCTCCCTCTCACACAATTCGATACATATCTCAATACATGGCCCACAATTAGATACAAAAATAATACTGTAAAATTTGTAATTTCAGTTCGGCAGATATTTATTTTGAATCCAGCGTGACAGAAACAGTTCTCATCAAAATTCAGCTGAAATAATTTTAACATATGTGTACAATGAAACTTATTCTCTTGGCACTGAAGTGTTACATTAGGTTAGCCAGCTTTTAGCATCCTGCGACACAAACGCAGCAGGATGGAGCAGAGGTGGGGGGGACATGTAGATGTCTTCTTTCAGATGTTACTCATCTGATGGTTTGCTACTGAATATGTGGGCAGTTTTTATTAAAATGGACATAAAAACATCTTAAATAAATAATTCCACATCTGTCATTGGCGCTGATCTATTATTAATTTATTTGTGTGTATGTGTGTATATACTTATACTGTATATGGGTTGTTTGTTTTTTTTTGGAATGGATTTTATATCAATGTTTGATCTTTATTCTGAAATAAGTGGATTTTAATGGCATAACAGAGTGTCCTGGAAATGATCATCATCCAGAGAGATTTTTCTTGTACCAGGAAATTAGACAAACTTTTAAGGCACCGTCTTGTACAAAAGAAGTGAAGTTGCAGCAAGAACATTAGAGTGCTTGTGTTATTTATGCCAAGTAATCTCACAAGGCTGTCAAACTGTCTCCCCCGGGGTTGTATTCTTTCAGAAAAATGCCCTTAATTAGTTCCTTGCCTGTTCAGAGTAATTAAGCTCCTCCAGCACTGGCTGTGTTTATATACTGTAAACACTGATTCACTTTCATGTGGCTAAAACCTGGTTTGACATGCTAATGTCCTTTCTCAGTCATAGCCACAAAGTAGCATTGAGGGTAATGAGCAAATGGGTTAAGATGACTGATCTTTCTTTTTTCTGTCTGTGTACACTGTCGCTGGGATAAACGGTGCAGACAGGAACATCTTCCTTCCTCTCTGTCAGATGCTATTCAATGAAAATAAAAGGCTGACTGATAGGTAGAAGGTCATATAGGAAGCTGTCAGCAATGTAATAGAGAGTGTTATTGTTTACTTTTCATCCACAATTTAACTTTTAAATGCGAGGCTGTATTAGCAACCATGTAACAGGCAACCGCCCCATGCCCCAGACTCCCTAGGTTTACTGGGTAGTAGTGAATTTGTGGTAATACAGTTTTGTGTGGGAAAGGGCTCAATATCGGCTGATGATAGCCCAAAGGCGGGTTCCGCTTTAACACCTGATTGCAGTGAGTTTGCCAGGCTAAGTGAAATACTTTATTTTTTTATTTAAACTGTTTGCTTTCATTTAATGTTTAATCTGGCTGTTTGTCCATTGTTTAATATGAAGATAGTGTTTGTTCACCGGTAGTTGTGTAAAACTCAAGTGTGGGTACCAGAGTACAGATATCAACATAACACTTTCCTCATTTCCCTTTATCATTAAGCAAAATGTAGTTTATATGTAACGAACTACATTAGTCAAGAACGTAAACTAAGTTGTAGTTGTACTCCTTAATATTTCTACTAATTTCATATAGAAAGATTCTTTATACTCAGCTATATTTATTTGACTCTAATAAAATGGTGGTTTACTTGAAAATGAATGCAGTAGTATAGATGCTACACAATATATAAAGTCAATATTAGCTTCACTTCAACCAGCAACATGTTGTTGCCAATACTTCTATATTACTTAAGTGAAATTAGGTTTTGTAATGTTTGTAATAAATTAGTTCTTTATTCAATGGAAATTGCATGATATAGCCCATTCTACTGTAAATCATTTCCCAGAAATTAGGTCATAATTATCACTTGCATTTCTGCTTTTTTTAATGTATATAATTTCCTTTTCTTTATCATCAGGGTGTAGGTTCTGACCCTCACACTGCCTTGGCCCTGCACCCTGACTCCAAGCTGGCCAAAGAAGAGGGCCCCTCCTTCCAGCCGTTGAGTTCTGACGAGATGACCATCAAGATAGGTAGAGCGAGACTTCTCTCAGGCAAGCCTCCCTTCATATACCCACATCAGTTGTTACAAGTTATTGCAAAACCATACAGTTCCACCTTTTTTCTTGCAAATGCAACTATTTACGCAACTATTGCACCATTGAGAAGATTAGTTTTAGCCAGTATAAAGCCAAAGGAATTGTCACAAAATGCATAAGGAGCAACTGCACTGGCTGCCAGTGTATAACTTCACCTGAAGCTTCTCTGATGGCTTCTTCTCACCTGTCTTTTCACTGGTCTAAGTTTTCCCCACTGCCTCATCTGCTCTGCTGTAATACTTTCTGGGTGTTCTCCTAATTCTGAATGGTTTGTCATTAATCACCCTGGAGTCTGGCCTCTGTGCTTTTTTCCACAAAGTCATCATTGCACACACAGTATGCTAAGTCACTTAAAAAGTACATACAGTACTAGTGTGGCTACATTTGTCTAGACGGTTTTAAAACTAGTAGGATATACTAACACAAACTAATAAACACATCTCCCAACAAAAGATTATAGCATGATGAGCAATTACATGCAAATTCCATAACCTTCTGCCTGACAGAGTGAAACATCAGGAAAAATTATAGAGCAAATAAATGCAGTTAAAAAACTAATCAGGTGAAGTGGAAAGATACATTCACAAAAATCCTGATGGAAAGAGGACGCAGAGGAAATTAATATTTGTTCGTGTGTCTGTGTTAGCACACTGCTACCTTTTCTAGGAGGTTGTGCCTCGTTGGCTGATAGCATTTTAGATAAAATGACAATTTAATTCTGTTAATCTCTTATGTTCAGTGTGTACCTGCTGATTGTCTCTCAGTGAGCATCCAGTCCAATTGCAGCAGTGGTTCTGTTAACACTTAGTCCTGCTTTCAAAAGCAGAGCACTGCAAAAAGAATTTCCGCCTGATAAACTGTGGCGATGTAATGTATATGTTACAAGCCAATGTTGGGGGGGCTTTGATATCACTGTGTCTCAGTCCAATTTGAGTAGAACACAAGGTTGGTGCACCTCCTCTCTTATACACAACATTTTATTATGAGATAACATCCTGAACTTGGCCCTGCGTGCTGTAGGTTTGGTGGAAGGATATTTTGTTGTTGTTGTTTCTAAATCAAGTCGAGAACATATCTCATGTTATAACAGCATTTAGTTAGAAAGATACAAACAGGAAAAGTAAAAGGAAAAAGCAAGAGAGGCAAATGATTATTAGCTGAACATTAAAGGGGAACTTCACTGATTTTTACACATTAGCTCATTTGCCAGGGGAGGTGTGCAAAGTCTGATAAATTGCCTCAAGTGAGTCAGCATCGGTTAGGGCTAAGGACTACAGGTGTGAAACAGAAAAACTGGGGATGTGGAGTTGGGAAGAATCCCACTCAGCAGTAGCCAGCTCCTCCTCTCTGCTCGAGGCTGCACGTTCTAGGCTACATTAGCTACTACTAGTATAACACTCTCAGATGAGTTGTATTGTGATTGTTGTATGTGTGGAAACAGATAGTTCTGGTGATGATATAAACTTTTTTTTTATACTGAAAGCTGTTTATCTAAAGTCTGACAGTGTAACGCAAGTGGAGAGGTGGATACCACGGTGCATTTTTCTTCACTTACCGATAACAACAGGACAGAACTCTGTATCAGTGCACAGGAGACCAGTAGAGGATAATTTACCCTTCTTGGTTATTTTCAGCCTACCACAAACGTAACACCTCATCCCACTTGCATGCAAGCCGCTCTCTCACCGTCTCAGGTGTGTATCATCAGTCGTGCCCTCGTGGAGATGTCAGCTCTGTTCCTGCGCTGCTTTCCTGCAGGAGTCCTGATCTACTTAATCTAACTAAGAAACATGTTACATCTTGTACATTTCGATTGAAAGCTGTGGTTTTTCAGGTCATATTATATTGTACATTGAAAATCTAAGTATTTTTAGTTCAGAGACAGGTTCTTTTTTTCATATGAAGGGCATGGATGGAAACACCTGTAGCAGAGGTAACAGGCATGCAAAAGTTAGTCTTTCTTGTTGTTTCTAGTTATGTTGTATATCTCAGCAGGTAAAGCACAGGTAGAACTAATATTTTTAAGGATGGCTGCGTTCCAATGAGGTGCCCTGGAGCGAGCGTAGGCAATAGCAAGGCTCTGAAAGTTGCTCATCTAAATGGAAAACACCAGTTATTAATCTAATTAAGTGCACCTGTGCTTTTCCTGCTGTGTGCTGTGAAGGCTTTTGCTAAGCAGACACAAGTCATTGATAATACTAAAAACAGCTGGAAGATGGAGTTTTTTTGTCTTTTGGTTGTTAATTCTGTTGTGACTGTGTATGAATGTCTGAGTTGTTTTGTCTGACTCAGTCTACCTCTTCATTCCCATTACGGTCTGTCACAACCTAGCTCACAGGAAGGACAAAGTGGAGAGGATCGTACGTGACTTTTTAGCAAACATATTTATTTAACAAATTCTAAGTAAATGAGAATAATCTAGAGTTTGTAATTCAGTGGCATCAGTGGTGAATATATGAATGTGTAGAAAGTGAAGTGCAATGAGCAAAATAAACAAAAGGCCAACCTAATTCAGGAGACGACCATCTGTCCAGGGACAGAGAGAGGGACAAAATAATTGACTCTGTCCACTTGTAGTGGAGGAACAAAACAGATGACAGTAATCATCCTGATACAGCTCTGGCTGAATGTCTAAAGCAGAAGAAAGAAATTAAATAAGGAAGATATGAATATTTTTTCATAGTTTTTAGTCTCAGGAGCTTTTGCTTGACATGTCAGCTAGAGATACTGAATATTAGATCTGAAGAAAGTGTTGTGAAAAGTATTGAATGCCTTGATGTTATATCAGGGCCATATTACAATTGACAGCTAGAGGAGTTCAACTGAAAAAAAAAGACTTGAAGAGGAAGAACCCCTTAAATACTTGATCAGATTGGAAGAAAGTGAAATGGCCAAAAATGTTGGCACCCCAGCATTTCTGTCAGATAAACCACCACTTCGCCCAGAAAATTGTTGCAATCACAAAGTCTGATCGAGGTTCAGGAAGCGACTGATTTCAGTTAGTTTGTCCAAAGGCTGTGCTGCTTGATATTAAGTTGAGGGTGTCAGTAATTCAGTCCAGTCCATTTTTGGAGTTCTGTGTGGAAGGAATCAGATTTAGTTTTTTTTCTGCATTTTATGTTGTTCCAGTGCAAAGAAAATAAATAAACATGACAATAATTTGTGATTGCAAGAATGTTCTGGGAGAAGTGCATTATCTGACAGAAATGCAGCAGTGCCAGTATTTTTGATCATGACTGTATATAGTCAGACAAAGGGGAATAAGAAGCATGCATATCCATGACCAGACGGATCATTGTTCTTAGAAGCTACAGCTCAAATTAATATTTTTGAACTCCTGAAAATCATTTACTCTTTGAGAGTGCTGTTATTTCAGTGAAGTCAAACATAGCCACGATTGCTTATTGTTTACAGTGATGGTACAATTCCCACTGATCTCAAGTCCATAGATTGAATGTATATTTCACACAAGCTCTTATTTGTCAGAGCAAATTTAATGCTTCCCTTCATGGCTTCCCTGAATGCAAGGGAAGTGAATCAGCCAAGACAGTAAACAGAAGTGCATTTACATATATATAAATGAGATTATACTTTGACCCCACTTGCCCCCTTAGGGATCAAAATGTGTACCACTATTTGTTATGACGTTTTATACTGTACATCAAAAAGTGTGATTAGTAAGATTAGCTTTATTATGCTCTTAGTTTTGAATGATGTTCCTAATTGTAATTGTGTTTGGAGTAACCCTGTAGTTGTTTAGCTTGACTATCTCTCATCCTCAAAGCCAGGACGAACTATTGCATTGTGTACCTGTACAAGCAGGACATGAGCCTTTAGCTGTGTTGTTTGTATTTTCAGGAGGTATGTTTCACTTTTCAGAGAGATGGCTTTAAACATGAGGACTAACAGATGTGTTGGGTAAATGTAGGGCTAGCTTGCATAACATGTAACAAGTCTACTGAACTGTCAGTTGCTCAGAGGAAGCTTGCTGAGAGGTTCCCCCTCAACTACAACACTGTCCTTAAGCTAACTGACATCCAGCATCAAAACCAATGTATTCCAGTCACAGCTCATCGGTCCATGTCGTCCAGCAAAGTACGGAAGCAGGCGCAGAGGGTTATAGCTGATTATAGGCTCAGGGCTCATGCTGTTGTTATTGTTT